CTCATGCTTGATTCCTAGTACTAAAAGTAGAAGCGTGTTGGTGGTGTGTGTGTGTGTGTGTGTGTGTGTGTGTGTGTTTAATGTGGTAAAATTTTATTTAGCTGGTTTTGAATTAGCCAGTAATGCACTTTTTTTCTCCCATGCTGTAAGAAAATGTTCAAATTTTTCTTTACTCTTAAAAACTCAGTTCAGTTTTTAAAGTATGGTAATGGTCATAAAAGTAACTATATAAAATTAGCACCTTTTTGTACAACAGATCCTTTACCCTTTTGTGTTTGTAAATCATATCTACTTGCTTAACCAAATGAAATATTTTTTTCTATTTTACTCTTCATGCTACTATAAAGTCAATGCAGTTATGGGAGAGTCAGCTGGATTCTTTAATACTCTGTGCATCAACAGAATTGTTAACTAAATTCCAATTGCAGAATCTTTATTACTGGTGACTAGGTAGTTGGTGTGCTTTGACTGCTGCTTATCATAATAAACTCTCGGTTACTTTGTGCTTTCATCTGTTTTTTGTATCCACCTGTTGTCTCTCATATTATATTTAGGCTTTGTCTACACTGGACTTCTGTTGGTAAAACTTTTGTCATTCAGGGGTGTGATTAAAAACACCCTCCCGAACGACAAAAGTTTTACTGACAAAAAGCGCCGGAGTGAACAGTACTTTGTCAGCAGGAGAGCTCTCCTGCTGACAAAGCTACTGCCTCTCGTTGCGGGTGGAATTTTTTTGTCAACGGGAGAGCTCTCTCCCGCTGACAAAGAGCGACTATACTGCGCATCTTTTAGCAGTATGGCTGTAGCAGCACAGCTGTATCACTAAAAGATGCATAGTGTAGACATAGCCTTAAATTGTAAACTCTTTGGGACAGGGATTTTCCTTTGGTCACATGTTTATAGTGCTTACTACAGTGCAGCCTAGATGCCTGATTGGGGCCTCTAGACGCTACTGCAAAATAATAACAGTAATATGGTGGTGATGCATGAGCCAGGAAGAATACATCTTACTCTTCAATCTCCCTGGCCACTCGATTACAGACCTAAAAGTCGCAATATTACAACAAAAAAACTTCAAAAACCGACTCCAACGAGAGACTGCTGAATTGGAATTAATTTGCAAATTGGACACCATTAAATTAGGCTTGAATAAAGACTGGGAGTGGATGGGCCATTATACAAAGTGAAACTATTTCCCCATGCTTATTTCCCCCTCCCCTACCCCCCCAGTTCCTCACATCTCCTTGTCAGTTGCTGGAAATGGGCCATTTTCATTACCACTACAGACAGTTCTTTTTCTCTCCTGCTGATAATAGCTCACCTTAACTGATCACTCTCCTTATAGTGTATATAGTAACCCCATTGTTTCATGTTGTGTGTGTGTGTGTATCTTCCTACTGTATTTTCCACGACATCCATCCAATGAAGTGGCTGTAGCCCACAAAAGCTTATGCTCAAATAAATTTGTTAGTCTCTAAGGAGCCACAAGTACTCCTGTTCTTTTTGCGGATACAGACTAACACGGCTGCTACTCTGAAATCTTAATATTAATATTCCAGGTTGGTTTACATAATTGATAAGTTATCTGACTATCTTTTTACTTATAACTTGAGCGAAGTTGAAGTGAAAGCTAACATGAGACAATAAACAGAGAATCCCATGATGGCATTTTTTCTGAATTACAGTTCAGAATATACATACACTCTATAATTTTCAAACCTGTTTACAATGGTATTGTAGCTGTGTTGGTCCCAGGATATGAGAGACACAAGTTAGGTAAGGTGATATCTTTTTGGGGCCAACTTTTGTTGGTGGAAGATACAAATTTTCAAACTACAGTTCTTCAGGTTTGGGG